TAATCGAAATGTAAAATCCCATTTCACGCCATGGCGAAAGTCTTTTCTGCCGAACTGCAATAATAGTAAAACATCAATTTAAAAGTAAAATTTAGTACTTAAAAGTATTACTTAAATTTATTTAAAGTATTACCTATTACTTAGAGATTACTTAAAAGTACAATTTAAAAGTAAAATTTTCACCAAGTCAAATCAATTTGTCTTTTGGTATTTACTAAATTGAGTATCAAATTATAATTAAATATCAGAAATTTCCATTTAAATTCTTAAATTTATTCTATAACAACATTCTACTATTTATAGTCTGTGGATTCAAATAAAAAGTTATTGATGATATGCATTAATTGAACAGGCCTGTGATAAGACAGCAACTATCCAAACTGCCTGGTCTTTATCATTTTATGACTTATTTTCTTTTTCAAAAACCTTTCTTAAGGAGAGCAGTGATCTTTCCAGATGACATCTGTCTCGAAAAGGACTCATATAAGACATGCAACAGGCATGAAAGTTCATAGGAGATGCTATCAAAGTAGAAGTGCTTCCTTAGTTAGCATTGTTTGTAATCAAGGAAAGTTCGTAGAATTCCTTAATGTATTGATAGTGGCAGAAAATTATTCAAAATGGATCTTTTTTTATGATCAATGTTTTATTCGCCACTATGTTTATTTGCCGTAAAAACATTTAAAGAAGCTCATTAAAATGAACGATGAAATCATTTTTTTACAAATAACAATATTCTTCAAATTATAATTCTCTAAAATTTTGTTGAGAATAAACAATTATCTTTCTTTTTTTTCTTTTTTTTTGCTTAAAAGTTCATTGGTAATTTTATAGTGAGTGAAAATCGAATTCATTGAAAATATATATGAAAGAGAGCAAAGATAAAGAAACTGATCAGATTGATTAACGTTGAATTTTTTTAAATTCTCTCTTTCCATTCCATTCTTCGTTTATGTTCAGATGTCGATGATATATATATTATTATCAACTCGCTTCTGTATTGTAGAAAGAACACATATTTGCAAAAAAAAAAAACATATGAGCGTATGTTTTTTTTTGCAGTTATATGATTAAAAAAAGGAGGGAGAAACGGTGAAATGATGAATTGAAATTTGCAATTTGATAATCCCTGGAGGTAATATTCGTCTCGCTTTTTCTTTCTTCTTATTCCAACAAAATCTCACACTTTGAATTTTTTCATTCCTTTCTACTACTATATACTTTGATTGCGAACAGTTAAGTTAATTTTGATATTTTAACTGCGAGAGGAAAGAACAAGTTCGGAAGTGGAGAAAAATTAAAAATTTTTAAATTAAAAATTGTACCGTCAAGCTATCCAAAACCTTGAAACAATGGTAATCTGCCACTTATTGTTTATATTTTGATATTTCTTTGATATAACTAAGAAAGTTCAACATGCACGTAAATCATGGTATTTTAACTAATTAATTAATGACTCCGATCTTTAATATGATTTCACGTTAAATTATCCTTCAATCCTTTATACAAGTGAGTTTTGGAATATTTTCTAACATTAACTGTCAAAAAAATTTTATCGTGAATGCTTTAACCATTAGCAAATGATTAACGTTATCACAAACCGCCCAACCATTAGTGAACTGTTAGCATTACCGTGAACTGTCCAACTGATGGAAAATCAAACTAAAGTTTAAATATTGTTTAAAATAGAAGTCAAAGTTTTGAACATAATCAGGGCTTTGAATATAATTTAAAATCAATATCAAAATTTTGAAATACCAATTGTCATTGCTATTAAAAAAGAATGAAATTTTAAAACTTGTCTCTTTATTCATATGCATAACATTACTTGATAAGTTTTAAGCTTACGATAGAATAGAAGAGATATCAATGAGCGTATTAATGATTGTCCAACCGGAAATGATAAGATTCTTCTTGATCGTGTGATAAAGGCATTGATAAGAAAAGCAAAGTGATTTAATTTGCTGTAGAAGTATTCATTCTGTATTTCAGGTGATAAAAGTTCAGGAACAATTTAGACTATTTGAATTAATTAGCCAGTAGAATTATTCGTCTTCTCTATCTTGATTTGCATTGCGATATAACGATTAAAATTTAATATTATTTTCCTTTCATCTTTATTATCTAATTTTTAAAAAATTTCAAATTAATCCAACTATAATAATAAAATTTTCACATAATTGCAATAATTTACATTGCTTCTTGAATAGGCTTAATTGGTTAAATTTTGCAGATTTGCCATTGAATTGATTTGGATAATCAACAAATAAGAAAAAAGACTTTACAAACAATGCTACCACAAAAATATACCATCACTATTTATTTTTTTCAGCTAACTGCAAGTAAGTTTTAGCAAATTTTGTTAGTTTTTTTTCAAGTGAATAAAAAAGTGGGAGATTTTTACTTTGTGCTAATATATTATGCTGAATAAGCCCACCTATCAAGATTTTGTCTATTATTATTAGTCTTCCAGCTGTACACTATATGTTACACATTCTTTAAAGTTTAAAAAATTACAAACTACACTTGAAACAACAAACATAGCAGTACGATTCTTCGGTATCTCTTGTTGAACTCTCCCCACCAATCATTCTAACTGCGCAATTGCAATATTGTGGGAAACAAATTATTTTTTGCAAGATCATTTAGCCTCCAAAGTTTCAAGCTTTTTTCTGTTTTTTTAATCATTTTTATAATTTCTGCTTTTTTTAATAATAAAAATGTTGTTAACTTTTGCGATTTTACGCCATTAGTAAATCGGACAAAATAATCGAAGAAAAACGATCCACTTGTTAGAAATGTTGTGGAATAAATTTTGAATAAATGATAGTCTGATGCGGCAATTCTCATCTCAAATCTCTATTTTCGCATTTTGCAAAACATTTCTGTTTCTTAACGAATACTAAATTAAATTGAAAGAATATCAAAATACCTTATGTAGTCAAAAGTACACCAAACTTTTATTCAAATATTTCTAAAGTGAATTAAAAAAAGCAAATGGTATAAGCAAATAAAAGAAAAATTCCAATAAAATAATGAAGAATAGAAATAAGAAATCTTCCGAAATTGCTGTCTTGGAGAGTACCAACTATTAGAATATCAATTCAGTCATAAATAATAACTTAGTATTGTAAAAAAAAAAGAAAATAAACTCTTTAAAAAAATAAAAAAAATGAATTTTTTATATTTGAAATATTTGCAGCATTATTGATAAACTCAAATCATTTACCAGCACAGTTGAAATTAGTCCGTAATATGTTGGAAACATATGATAAGAAGTCAAAACCTGTGTGGAATTACAGCAAACCTATTAATGTGACCTTTAGCATGGATTTGTATCAAATACTAGAAGTGGTTTGTTGCACCTTGTTTTGTCATCAGGTATTATGTTTCTTGTCCTCATTTTGATTTATTATATTTAACACAATGTAAAAATGTAAAAATTATTTCAAATTCTTTTTCAAATAGTGAGGCATAAAATTGACGAGAATTAAAGCATTATATTATTTGTTTTGCTAATGCCATTTTTATCTGTCATCCGTATAGAAGCAAAAGAAGCATGAAAGATTTTTTTTTAGAACGAACCACAGCAATATGTTTTACTCAACGCTTGGATAATTGAAGTTAGCTTTTATCTGTCCTTCTTTTATTAGTCTGATAGTGATTGAATTTCTCGATTATCACGTAAAATACACTCATTCATTATTATAAACATAGACTTGTCATTTAATAAGATAAATGGTACTTTAGCTTTTATAACTATTGAGTGAATTTGATTTTTTAAATATCAGTTAAATCGTCCAATTATCATTATTCGCATGAGCTAACTGATATGAATGATAACTGTGTTCTGTTGTGATATCCTGTAAATTTCCACTTTCATTATCTTTGAATCGAACTTCCCTAATCTCTCCTTATTAGAATTTTTTTGACAAAAGCAAACAGCAAATGACAACAATTCGTTGTTAATTAATTGAACTGCTAATTAAAATGAAAATATTTGCTTGAAACTTTAATCGTTTTTTCTATAAACGAAAAAATTCTACATGATGGGAAAGATCAAAGGTCAATGATAATAAAACGAGGATGTATGAAAATCATTGAGCACAGTTTAGTGTTGTAATAATCATTAATCAATCTTAACAATCAAAATAGTTTTAGCAAGCATTTGACAAACGGTGGAATGCTTTGCTTTAATTATGCTATGATGAATTGACTGTAAAAAGATGAAGGACAACGGCCTTCACTTATTTTAGATATGAAATAAAACTTGAAGGTGGCATAAGTCAAAAGATTGCAACGATATAATCATAACATTTTGATTACAACGTTTCTGCATAATTCAATTATTAGGAGTGTCACCTTAATTAATCAAAATTAACAGTTGCGAGGTAGTGATAGAATTGAATATTAATTTTCTGCGATTGTTTTTTCCATTTTAAACTTTGCTTGGATTTAGTTATAGAAATTTTGCATTTAGTTGTGTTTCTGTCATTTTTTTGCATGCATTCAAATTTTTATGGGAACAATTGCTGCAGCAAATTATAAATTTAAACAATTTTAAATAACGTATTTTATCTTGAAGTGAAATCTTTCCTACTGAAATGAATACTAGCTTTTCAAGCAAATCAAAACAGCAAAACTTAATTTATTTCTCAAAAAAAGTTTGACTAATCTTTAAATATTTATGAAATTTATAGCGATGGTACGATGAGTTTTTATATTGGCAGCCAGCAGATTATGATAATATTACAGAAATTCATTTACCACACAATTCAATATGGTTACCTGATACAACACTTTATAATTCGTTCGTTCACTTTACTTATTTTGCATTGAAAGATAACATAGAATTCTTGAATAACTTCTTAAATAATCTAATTATTTAGTTCCTATCCAAAAATAACATGTAATTCAAATTAAGTAACAGATAATATGTCTTGGTTAAACTTACAACCAAGACCAAATTCATAAAATTTTCAAACAAACTCAGGTTAGTGATGAAAGATGATGATACGAGGCGATTGTTGAATGTAAAACTTACCACCGATGAAAATATTCGTGCTGCATATATCGAACTTCTCTATCCAACCATCTACAAATTTTCATGTCTATTAAATCTTCGTTTTTTTCCATTCGATATTCAGGAAAGTGTTTTGTATAAAACTGAAAAAAAAGAGAGAAACAAACAATTTGCCAAATTCTATTGTTTAAGTTCAATATTTAAATAAATACAAAATGATCATTTTATGAGAATCATCAAGAAAAGTTTACATGATCTTCATATTACTGAGATATGCTAGCATGTACGATATATTCATTCCTAACTTATTTAAAGATATCTAATTTGAAAGAGTCAAGAATAACTATCTCTAATCAAATTTAAATTTATTATCAAATGATGACTGACTGATGCATTCCAAAAATATTTTAGCAATCCAAATTATTGTTAAGAGCAATTTAAAATCTCTAGATTTTTTTGCAAGGTATTTATTCAATAAATTTAATAATTGAAGTAATTTCACTGCCTTTATTAGCATTAAATTTTATTATTAGCTTCTAGTTTTATTGGTTTAATGCACGGCCATTATCGAATTAATTAATTTCAGGTTTGTTCGATGATATTTTCAAGCTGGACATTTGATCAAACGGGCATTGATTATTTTGCACATTCAGATATTGTTGGTACGACAAATTACATCGAGAACGAAGGCTGGCATATTCTCAAAACATCAGGTTTAGCATTCTCACTTCTCATTACTTTTGTTTAGATTGAATTTTTCATAGCTATGATCTAAAAAATTACTAGCTTTCTTTATGATAGCATCTTCTCTTTTCATTCAACTTCTAATATGAAGCCAGACAGTTTTCCGTAAATTTTGAAAGTTTTTTTCTCCAGTTCAGAGATTTTCAAAGAAACAAAGTGCACTTTCTCACATTATCCTTTTCCCAGAAAGATTAAGAGTGATTAGGAAAGATCATAAAAGCAACATAATTAAGAGGAATCAGAAAGAATCTAAAATTCAATATGAAACAAACGTTTATTTTCCAAAAAATTTAAAAAATTCTTTCTTCATTGCAGTAAAAAAAGAAGAAACCAAGTATGAGTGTTGTCCAAACAAATACACTCTTCTCTCAATAACGTTATATTTGCGAAGAAAGCCTTTATTTTATATTATAAATTTAATAATTCCAACAAGTATCACAACGCTTATCGCCATTGTTGGATTTTTCACGCATGTTTTTTTTTCAGCTCAAATTTGCACACCTATTTTCTCTTTGTAATTTAACTCTGCCAATTTTACTTCAAGATATGTCCTTAGTCAATTTCAGAAAGTTTTTTTTTTTAATTTTTGATGTTTAGGACATCGACAGCAAGTGGCATGCGTGAGGAAAAGGTGTCGCTTGGTATCACAACCTTACTATCAATGTCCATTCTGATGCTAATGGTTTCTGATCAAATGCCGACCACATCCACATTTATACCTCTCATTGGTTTCATGAATATATTTTTTCCATCTTTTAAGCATATAATTCTTAAATAATTGTTTACACACTCCGTTTGGAGAAACTAAAGTAATTGATTATCAGCTTTGATTTCAATCAATTCAGATCAAATTTTCCATTCATCTTATTTTAGGCTGGTTCATTTTGGCTATGATAACAATAATCACTTTTGGAACTTTGGCATCCTCTGTCATCATTGCTATTCAAAAACGTGGTCGTCAAAAGAGCCGTCTTACTCCACGTACTATTTGCTTGGTGAAGTTCATCGCATATATTACTCTTGAAGATATACCAAAACATTTGATAGAGGCACATAAGGTGTAAAAACTTTTTCTAAAATCGCTGAATAATTCTTCAAAAAAGAAACAAAATACGGAAAAAATTATTAAATTAAATTTAGAAAACGATATAAATTAAATGGAATTAGAAGCTTCAAATACATGTGTAGATGAAAATCTTTTAGAAACCCCTTTTAATGAAATTAATCAACTTTACATATGTATATTTAATAACCATGTTATTATCAATTAAATGATACATTTAGAAGGAATTGAAAACGACAGCTTTACAAACTGAAAAAAGACAAGACATTCTGAAAACAAAAGAGCCAGAAGGACGGCGGAACAGACAGTGGACCCTTTTACAGAAAGGGCAAAGAACACGAATAGTCGAGTCACATCTCTGTAAACTGTCGACATTATCTTACAACAACACCGATTTGATCCCACAGAAACGTTTTTATATTAATTTGAATTCATGTTTTATATTGATTTAGCATTCATATCATGATCTTAGAATTACAATTGAATTAAATCCTTTTAGCTGATGAAGGTATCGATATCTCAGATATCCCGGATACTGCTTCGGCTATACTAATTCCTTCAATATCATCTCCCAATGAAGGCGGTAATGTCGCTCCAAAGATGAACGGAAATGATGGCGATTCAATTCGTACTACTTTAGAAAAACCTAACTCTGACTCAGCACGACAACAAAGGCAGCCACAAAATGTTTCAAGTTTATGCGGTACGTCATTTGCACTTAATTAATCACTGTTTATGCGTGTAGTATCTGGACAATTTCAACAATATTTTCATTCACAATTATTACCATAATCATTAACTTTTAAAACCACTGATATGTTCTATAATTAATTAAATTATTAGTTATGATTGAGTTCAGTTAGAGTGAATTCTCACGAGTTCACTTTAAGATGAGGTCAGCATTCGACAGAATCGTCGACTGGCACGAGATGAATATGATTGGATGGCAAAAGTATTGGAGCGGTTGTTTTTCATCTTATTTATTATCATTTTTGTATTTGTTACTGTTGGTATCAATTCCCTTGGTTTTTATTATTGGTCCTCTATGGATCATATATTGTACGACAACCAATGAGATGATTCATATTGAAGATTCCCCCTGAAAGTCTAAACAATGACGGTTATCAAAAATGATTACCTTTATCACTTCACTTTCTGATCATCTTTTATACGATCTATCGGAGTATCATTATGAAAATTAACTAATTTTCCATTATCAAATTTCCGCCAATACACACCATCTGTCCTTTGATGTTATTCAACAGGTGTCACATTCGTATTGTGACACTCTTTTCCTTTTCATCGATATACGAAATTCATTGAAGTTATCATTGTTAATTGCATAAAATTATAATCCAAGAATGTTTATTTATTCTTGTTTATAAAAAAATTGAAAGTTATTTCAAAGCAAATTTCGTGATGGAAACGCAACAGTTTGTGTATTAATGAAACTTATTTGACTGACCTGATATTTTTTTTTGCGTAAAATAGATTTATATGTTTGTCAGTCAAAAAAACATCTGATACTGTTTAAAGTGACGGATAACTGCTGCAGTGATTATTGTAACCTGTCATTATTATGGTAGCTTCGTATCACTATGTAATGTAACTAAATTTTAATAAAAATCACTATCTGAACTCGTTAGTATATAAATAAAAATTATTTCTTTCTTGCATGGATGGAACTAATGGACAGAATTTATAGTGGGATCCGGATTCCGTCTATTTTCTTGAATATGATTGTATCGATGATTGTTTTATAATCGTTTTGATATTATTAATATAACTTGTTTAAGCATAAAATTAGTAAAAAAGTATACTTCATGTAACTGTGAAGAGAGGCAATATAGCCATTTCATTATATAAAAATAAAAATCTTATAGAAGATGAGAAATTGTGATTTTTATAGGAGTGGAATAATTTTCAAATGATTTCTAAATTGATGATTTTCTGTTTTCATTTTCTTCAGTGAAGCTAAAAACATTTTTCTTCCTTTCTTTTTTGCTGAACAATAGAATAAGATATTGATTTTATAAACTTCCATTTTCAGTAGTTTTTTCTTCTTCCTCCATAAATTCGTCAGCTGGTTAGCCTGGAGTTCACGTCGCTTTTACTAGGTTATTTTTTAGGGATCTTACAAGTAATTTTTATTCTATTTAGTAATATCAGGATTGAGCATTTTTCTAATCTTTGACATAATCTTTCATCTTTTTAGTTTAATGAAAAATGTTGTTTATCAGTGATGATCTTTCTTGCAAGAATATTAATGCTGCCAGTTCATATTGCTATCATTTCTTTTTTCAGGAACATTAAACAATTAATTAAAATCCTGATAACCTTTTCAACAACACTTGACAAAGGTCAGCTCTAACGACGTAATTTCAATATCATGTCGTTGTTTCTGTTTACCATAATCTTTGCACTTTCAGTGACTTCCTTAGAAATTCATCAATCTTTTTCAGGTTTGTAATTTTGATTTATCAATTTTCACTTAACCAACTAATCATTTCAAGATATCAGACGAGTGTATGCAAATAAAAAAGGAAATTTTATAATTCAGTTCAGAAATTTCTTTAATCTTAAAATCTCAGGAATCATGTTAATTTTGGGCTTTGAGTGCTTAAATTCACTCCTATCATGTTTGGCGATTAAGTTTAAGGAAATCAAAGGTTAGCATCGTTTTTTAGCCATTTTCAGAAGTGGAAAAGGGCGATGAAATGCATTATTTCATTTCAGCGCGACAACAGCTGCCTCATATTCGATTGGTCCGAGATTTACTCTCCACCGAGAGGTATTGCTTTTCTTTTTGGTTTCTGTAGAATGATCTTTATGTGGAAACACATAGAAAGAGAGTTATCAATATTCGCATGATTGAATTTCACTTTTTTTAATGTTACAACTTGAAATGTAAGTATTCTCGTCCATGGAAGGTATGATCCAAGTGTTCGACCGGTTGCAAATTATTCCGAATCGTTAACGGTGCACATCAGTATGAGTTTATATCAAATCTTCGATGTGGTTTGCTTTATAATATTTTCACTTGAAATTAGCTTTTAATGAAGTTGATATTATGATTCTTGTTTCTCAGACTAAAAAAAGAGATTATTTGAAAAAAACTTGAAATAAATAAACGCGATCGGTAGAAGTGGAATGTACTTTTGTAGGTGAGTTTAATCTAATTTCAAATGCGTTAGTCTGATTTGAGTTCTAACTGTTTATACTATAATCGTTTATATTTCTACATTATTTACATACTGCTAGTTCTTTTACTATAATCTTTGTATTATGTTACAGGATAAACCATCACAATGTTTGACCCTTAATATATGGATGATTCAGGTTTCTTTTCACTTTATTTCGCTTACTTTCTATTTAAATTTTAATTTATATCTAATTCGGTCCTGTTAATAAGAGAAATAATTATGTAATTTGAAATACAACAAAAGCGTAATGATATTTCTACACGAAACATTTAATCTGATTTGCGTTCTGGGAATAACATCTGGTTATTTTAATCTCCATATAAAATTGAAATTAACATTTAAGAAATGGATCGACGAATTTTTGGAGTGGGATCCTAACGAATATGATATGATCAATTCTACAGTACTTCCGCATGATGTTTTATGGATTCCTGATACATTCGTCTACAACAGGCACTATACTTCGCTTTCTATTTACTTTGAATTTTTAAAATTCTTAATTTTTTGTAAAATATTTTACTTGTAAATTAAAATTTAAACTTAGCATGGTGATGAATCGTGAAGGAAGTGAACGATATATGAATGTTATCGTAAAAAGTAGACATTGGAATGGTGAACATGGCGCTGAAATATCTTTCTTGTATCCAGCACTTTATACTATACGTTGTCATATAGATATACGCTATTTTCCTTACGACCATCAGGTTTGCTCATTAATCCTCAATACTAAAGCAAACAATAATGAATAATTAAACAAATTTGAAGAAAAAAACATGGATTTTATTTGAGTTTTCTAAGTAGCACATAAAGGACGTAAAAAATTAATGAAAAGTTGCTTCATTGCTTAAGCTATCATCTAATGAATTGTACTGAAAAAAATTATAAAAATTTACAAATTTCTGATAATTTAATCTTCTGATTAAAACTTTTAAATCATTATTTCTTCAGAACTGCACCTTAATTTTGGGTTCATGGACCAGCAGTAAAGCCCTACTTAATTATACAGCCGATAAAATAGTGAATATGAATTCGTATATACCAAACGAAGAATGGGATATCCTCTCTTTCAACCTTCATCGTCATGAAGTGAGTTCCTTTTTAATTTCCATTTCTTCTCGTTCGATTCTCTTCTAATTACATTTGCTTGACAAGTCTTAAACTGAGTGAAGATTTAATTTATAAATTATAAGAGATTTCCAAAAGTTGAATGTTCATCTTGTTTTGCAGTATGTATATGAATGTTGTCAAGATCCGTGGGTCATTATCGAAGGATCTCTTATCATTAGAAGAAAGCCTTTATACTATATAGTCAATCTCATTATACCAACGACTGTTTTAACATTGGGTTATTTTCTTTTTTCTTTAATTTAAAAATTTGAAAAGATTACAACTTTTGAATGTTTCAAGGATGGAGTAATTAGAAATGCAGGAATCTTTATTTTTTAAAAATTTTAGAAAGTAGCTTGTCAAAAGAAATCATTTTTACTCTTTTTATTAGTTCAAATTATAATTTTAGTTGCAATAGTTGGCTTTTTTACGCCAGCTTCGACAAGTGATGAAAGGATGGAAAAAATTACGATCGGTATTACCGCTCTGTTAGCAGTATCTGTTTTAATGTTAATGGTTTCTGATCAAATGCCAACAACTTCGGATTTTGTACCTCTTATTGGTAATATCATTATAATGTAACTGCTTTTATCACAATGTAAATCAAACATTTATTTAAAAAATATCATAATTATAACATAACTATCAATGACAATACAATATTCTGCTTATTAATTTGTTTTCATATATAATTTCGTAATTCTATGAACATGATTTTAAATAAAATTTAAAAAAGTGCACAGTGATTTTAGATGAAACACGACAGAAAGAAAATTCCCCAAAAGAGCTATGTAACAAGTAGACTTTTCATGACATACTAATTTACTTAACTTTTTTTATTCATTAAATAAATCAATAAGTGTAGTAAGGTTAAAACTGACACTTCTTCAATGAATTTTTCTAAGAAAAGAGTGTGAGTTAATGAAAATCTATCATTAATTTTTTTACGAATCAAATTGATGTAATTTTAGCTTGGTTCTATCTGTCAAATATTATCGTCATTTCTGCAGCAACATTTTGCACATGCACTGTTCTCCGTATTCATGGCAGTCATAGAAATGGTAAATTACCGCCCATCCTTGTTCGAATATTATTCTTCAAATACATTTGCAACTATTTGTGCGTTTCACCACCACATGAATTGATGATGTTATGGAAGAGAAGTAGGGTAAATCATTTAATTTACTTTGATTAAAATGCCTGAAGGCAATTTTAGTCATATTTCCATGAAAAGTTAAATATTTCTGTAAGTGATAACGTTCGTGTTTTAAATACATTAGGTAAATAATTTTTTTGTTGTCTTTTACAGCAAAATTTTGTCGAAAAGTTGAAGCAAAGGAAGAAATCTATACTAAATACCGTACAATCGATGGATAAAAAAAAGGTATAAAATTTTCAGCAATATGAATTTATTTGCTTTTACTTTATTTTATTTAAAAAAAGAGTGATTAAAAAGTTTCAAAACAAACAATCAATTTTTCATTACCTATTTATAATGTTAGCAATAAATCTATGGAGAGCTTCTCTCCAAATTCAGTCAACTCTCACTGAACTATCAGTGAAACCATCTGTGCAAAAAATGCTGGAGAGAGACAATGGTATAGAAACAAAGCAAACAGTGTCGAGATTATCCGCAAAAGAGAATTGGGCTCGAATTTCTGTCACCCTTGAAGATATTTCATCTAGAAACAAAGGTGAAACTATCTTTGTAGATAAATTTTCGAATTTTAACGAAATCAAAATTTAATCAAAAGTAATGGTTTATTTAAAACTTTTGACCAGTGCTTTAATCAATAATCATCAGCCTTAATCACTTTCATTATGTTATTTATTATTTGCATTTATATTATTCGAAAGAGTGAAATTTTAAGATCAGTCAGAAGTTGTTCGTAAAGAAAGCTCACTGACATCTTTGATTCAAAAGATTCGAAAAACATCAGCGGAACGGAAGCATCTATCACTTTGGAATACTGCAGTTCAATTTATACGTTTTACAAGCAATGATTTACCACGAAAGGTAACAAATTAAATTAATAATTAGCAAAAAATTACATTTCTAAATGATATAAAATAAAATTTATGATTTATGTGAAGAATGTCAAATGAATATCTCGTTCTTTCAAAAAATTCACACAATCATATGCTCTATTTAGAAAGTTGTAATGGGATAAGAAAATGTGATAAAAATTTTGGTGAAGCATATAATTAAATGAATGCTTGAATATATTCAGAGGCAATAATTTTCTGATCCAAAAAATTTATTGTCAACCGTCTCAATTTCATTGAAACATGCAATAGACAAAATGTATGATCGACTTTGTTCAATGCCAAAAAATAGTGGGATGAATTTGAGAGCAATTAAATAACTGACTATATGTTGTGTTGAAGTTGTAAGAAATTATGATGATTTAGTTTATAGCTGAAATTTTCCAGTAAAGAAATTAAACTATTAGTTATTTGCATATTTTGTTTTAGATTGAATCAAATGAATTAAAATCACTGAAGCATCGCAGACAATGCACATTGGAGTGGGAATTCTTGGCAACAGTAATGGATCGAGTTTTTTTGTTATTTTTCTCAATTATTACCATACTTATTGTGACCGCTTTAGCAGCGACCGCTAAATTAGCTCAGTATCATTTTGATGCAGCATTAGAAATCGCCCACAATTGATTGATACCATCATTTTTCGCTCTCGGACAAAACTATTTAATAAACGCAACTAGCAGAGGAGACATTTCCTTATTTTTCTGAATTGTTCAATATTGAATTTAAACCTAAAAGTTTACTTGATTTACAAGCTTTTTTTAATGACAAGTTGCGATTGATTGTTCATTAATTAATTTTCCTCCAATTATCGAAAAGCTTTTCTGAGATACTTTTAAAATCAAAGTGGGAAAATAAAATTTTGTAAAAGAAGGATAAAGCATTCTTACGTCTGATAAATCTCTCGTTGCAATTGGTATTATTGTTTTTTTTTTCAAAGTTTTATTTTGCAGAATAAATTTAAGATTAATGTGTTGCATCGGTGAAAGGAAGCAGTTACTCCTACTCCAGTAGCGGTTTTTTTGTAAATTCCAATTTCTTGAACACTGTTAATTCTGATGTTGTAACAATGCTACAACACTTAATAAGATTAAATTTTTACTATTGCACTCAAATTATTGTAAATCTGGCAAAATAAACAACAATCGGCTTTTAGCGATTAATCTTTTTTTCTATTAAATGCACTAACAATTTTTTTCAAAGAAGTTTCGAATTATTTAAAATCAGGAAAACAAATTTTACAGACATTTTTTGCAGATTATTTGTCACACATCATTTCCATTCTAAAAACAAAGGAATGGATGAGAGAATTTTCACAGTGAAGTTGAATCAATTTGAATCTTTTCGAAATCTTAATGATAAAAGAATAGAGCAAGAATCATTCCTTCTCTCAGGTATGCCATTATAAAATTGCGTGATGCATAAATCTCTGAAAAAAATTTATTCACATGACAGGCCATCATCATCATGTTAAATTTATTTTGTAATCTAACCCTTTATATCTCTTATTGATATTTACAGAAAATATTAGTGTGATCATTTATTGAAGAAAAAATTTCCATATATGAGGAACATATCGCTTCGTGTAATTTAGCAAAAAATATCCTTTGATCTTTTACTGATAAATTTAATAATATACGTCGAAAATTTATGGTGAATTCTCATTTCTATTCTGCTTAAAACGGGACAATTGCTTTCTTTCGATCTAAACATAAAAATTTCACATTTGAATATTTAACTAAGCTATATTAAATCACTCATAGCGAATCAAACTATCTTCAGTCCAGCTAAATGAATAAACCAAAAAAATCCAACTGAATGTAATTCATAAACTCTCTGAATTTGACTCTTTTGCTACCAATTACAACTTTCGCTGAATATACAGAAGTAAAATTTTCATGCATTCATAATCAAATCTCTAAATATTGATCGTAGTTTGACCTGTGAACCATGATTACATTATTGAATTCATGTTTTTTTTGCACGAGTTACACCATTCCTCTTAATTTAAGTGATAAAATAAAGGAAAAAAGAGTAGTTAAAGTTTACGAAGAAAACAAGTACAAAAGTAATTGTTATTTGTCAAACTAATCATTAAAATAAACTGATCATTAAAATATGATTGTTAATATCAGTGGCACACAGAGCTTGAAAAGCCTAAGGTTATTTTCGATTATTACGAGGGGAAATACCGGTACGGGCTAGGCTTTTGTATAATAATGAGATAACACCGCACGTTAATAAATTTCGTAAAACAGAAGATTTCAGTTTTTTCCGCCGATATAAGTGTGAAAAAATTTTTACGATAAACCAAATGAGGAAATAATCAATGAAGATTTGATTCCCTTCTCCTACACTCCACAAATCATATACATTAATTTCAGTTCATTAGTAATGACGAATTTCGCAGCAACGATTTCATCATTTTGTTACTAATCAATATTTTTACTCCAATAACTTTTCCATTATTAATATAATTATCACCAAAATCAATACAGTATGTTTAGAAATTGACTACTCCGGGCAAATTCCGGGGAAAAGCTGCGATTAAAAACGTTATTCATGATTTAAAATAGCAGAAAATATGACACTATTCGGATGATTTAAATATTTCATTATCATAATTAAAATCATAATCACTTAAAAAAATGGAGTAAAATAATCGATGCAAAGAGATTCAGATATATTCAAACGGCTGGATTACTAACGATAGCAGAACAATGCTTTAAAATTAAATTAAGATAATATTTTTTCTTCTTGTAGTCAAATTCAATGCAGGAGAAACAGAAAAAAGCAATTCGAGTTTGTTTTCTAGTAAAGGTTGTACTTGAAATGACGATCGATTGATTGAAATTGAATATCGTTTTATTATTTCATCATAATCTCACCGACTTGTTTTAAAAATTTAACTTTACTACTAGTTTATCACATAGATTGTCACACGCACTTTCGACGTAAATAAACGGATAATAATAATATAATTCATTTCCAAAAACTTCCTAATAATTTCCTAAATCACAAAATAAGAAAAAGAAAAAATTGCTCATAGAAAAAAATTAAATGCCATTTGGGTTTAAAGATACAATTACCTGCTCGATTTATCCCATAGCTTTTTGTTCTTTAAAGAAAATGAAAAATTGATATTTCAAGTAATAATTTAAAAAAAAAGTAATTCTGCAATTGATTGCTTGCATGATGTGATTTTCCTTTAGAAAACTAATTTAATAATGATTCCATAGGAAATTCTGATCATTGCGCTCCAAAAAATTCCGATGCCAAAGACCTTTGAAGTCAAACATCTTCCGCTGACATTCAATTTTCTGCTTTTCAGTTGCCTGTATGTGTGTGTGTTTGTCAATTGTCATGTTATCACAATTATTCCATGCCTGGTTTTAGAGTGATAAGAGTTCAGAACATTATTTGATCCAGTCTTTAACTGTAATGTCCACAGCTGTAATAGTGGTCATTTTATTTACTGCTATTACCTTAACAATTTCTAAGGTACGTTTGAATTAGTTTCTTAAATTAGCATCCGCAAAATTAATGTCAAAAATGACGTAATCTTTTTCCAGAAATTCATGAAAAAACCGACATAATGCCCCATTTTGTTATTTTTTACATTTCATCCAATAAATTTAGTTTTTGTTACTTAAAATTGTACAGAGAATAATATCACTGTTGCTGATAATTAAAAATGTCATCGAGGAATTCCATCCCTCCCTCATAATCACTGCAAATCATTCATTTAACAATAGCTCCAAAAAACCAATTAATCTATGTAGTTTTATTTATTGAAATTTTTCAAAAAAGTGAAATAAACCGCAAGCTTATTTGTAAATTCACTTGCAATTCAAAATTCTTTGCTCATTTTACATTTCGTATATGAAATCCTATATTTACGCTCCAATAACAAATGACACCTCAGAAATAATTCGATAAAATGAAAACTAAAATATTTAATCAATTAAATATCACTTAATTCTAAATCCATTATACTCTCAGTAGACAATGTGTCGCGAAAGGTTTTTTAGAAAGTAAAATTCCAGAAGTAAAGTTTAAAATTATGCTTTCAAATCCTTTATGTTAAAAATAATAAAAATTTGAGGTTTTTTGTGATCGAATATATGAAGATAAGTTCTTTTTCATGATTATTATACAATGGAATACTGCACAAAATTAATTGAATGTCGAATGATGGCTGTTATACGTTATCAGCAGCATATGGAAAATGCACGAGTTGTAAGTGATATTTCCTGTGCGATAGATGAAAGTTTCAGGTTGAGTGGTCTTTTTTTTTAATTTCTTAAAATTTGGCATTTAATAGCTTAGCATAAACAGTTTTAAATTTTAAATTCAAAACTTGCATTTTAAACAAAATTGTATGAACTCCTAAACAAATTATTTTTAATTTAATTTTTTCCTGTCTTCAAAGCGTTGAAATCACCGCTCACCTCAAATTTTTCATTGTGCTGAATTTACAGAATGCTATGGAATTTGTTAATACAAAGAGAAGCTGACTATGCATTATGCATAATGCACGAGAATTTCATGGCCGATAAGGCACAACTAAAAGTTTTAGTAAGGTTATAAAAAGTTATTTAAGTAGTAAGTAGCAAATTATAATGTAAAAAAGTCATGTTTTAATAAAATTTAGTCAATTTACTCTAGAGAACAAAATTTTTCAAAGACCAAAAGCG